CAGGTCACAAAGGAATGTGTGTGTGGTTGTGTGTGCGTGTGTGTGTGTGTGTGTGTGTGTGTGTATGCGTTTGTATAAAGCTCTGATCAGACCCAGTGTCACAGCTCATTCCATCTGTCACATGAAGGTTATTTCTGAATGAAGATGCAATTGTGGCGTTCTGTATAATAAGAAGGAGGCAAAATAGCCTTTGGTTGTGTGTACCTGCATATTTGCTGCTATTTATGCATATTTTGTGTGTTTATCTCAAGATGAAAAATTTGTTCCTTGATCATATTTTTTGACTTATTCAGTTGGAATTGTGCTTGTTTGTCTTTAAACCTGTGTGTGTGTGTGTGTGTGTGTGTGTGCGCAGCAGCAGATTGCAAACATTTCCTGTGTTTGTCTTCCTGTATCTTGTTGGTGTAAATGGGAATCCTGAAGAGGGAGGGAATAATCCTTATGTATCTCTTTCTTCAACCAACTGGAACATCGCTCTCGCCTCTTGCTAGAGGAGCACACGCACACAAACAAACACAAACACGCTACCCAACCAACCATGAAATCGTAATGTCAGACCTGTTAATGCCTCTAGATAGCAGCCACTGCATCCCTGCGTGGTTTTGCCCGATACACATAAACACACACATACACACGAATGAATAAACAGAGAGCTATCTGTTACTCTCCGGCAGGAATCTTCTATTCAGTAGTGGCTGGTTGTTAATTCCTACACTCTGGGGATTGCAGGTTGCCTCGGAAAACAGTTCAGTTCGTATGAATGAAATACATATAAAAGTTTACTTTGAGCACGCTCATATTTCCCCAAAACTCCTGACCAGTTTTATTTGCGCTAATCATTTTAATTGCATGCATCAACATGCTATTTCTGCATCCTGTTAGTTTAGAGTTATTGTGCCTATTTTCCGGGAGGCAGTTCTTGGTTATGTAAGTCTCGTAAAATAAAACCTAAGTCTCATACCTTTGTGCATTTTTGACATGTATCCACATTTATAAGCGGCTATATAGAAAGTGTTCTTCTTTAACCAAACCATAAACTTTCAAGAATAAAATTGGCAAAAGTAGCTCAGGTTTATTTTCATTCATTTTATATGTATTTCAGACATAACAAATGCAGAATAATAAGCTGTCAGCATTAATATAAGTTGGAAGTCGAGGTGATTATTCTTCAAGCTTAATTGAAAAATTTTAAAACAAAGCTTAACTTATGGTTCAATTCATTCATTCAGTGCTTTTTTTGTTGATACTTTCCTTAAAAGAGAAACTCAACTAGACTTAAATGATTTGCAAAGGAAGTTTAGTTGAAAGGAACTTTTGAGCAATTTATTTGTGTGCTCTGTCAGATTCCTGTCATTAGTCCACATACATTTCTAAAATATAACTGATGTCAGTTCAGAGCAGCTTTTCCTCGTGCAACATAGTCTTTACTTGATCCTATGCGTCAAAACATCCAATCACACTGTGACCTCTGTTTATTCAAACTGATGCACAGTTCTAATGGAGAATCTACTCATTCCGTGTGCTGGAATATTTCAAGATCTGAACACCGTGTACATGATGCTCTGTTTGCTTGCGCGCGTGAGAAGGACACCAACTCAGTGATCTATTTATTAGACGTGACTAATGAGTAGTTTGCATCCAATCTGTTGTTGATGCGTTTGCATTTATGCACCTAACTATCACAGTATCAACGTGAACTTTTGCTTCTGTATTCTGCCACGTTTGTTTGGGTGTACTGTCCCATCAATCTATGTATATCTTCTGTCAGCCGTGTGTGTGTGTGACAGGGCCAGGCTCGGTGCCACAGAGATTCACCCTGTCAGTTTCCATGTCTCTTCGTCTGTCCCGGCGGCGTCACTCTTCTCCCTCGCTGCACAGATCAAAGAGCTGACACATGCCCCAGTGTCCTTTCTCTTTTCCATCTCTAACTCTCACTTCTTGGCTCTGTCTTTCTTGCAATCTTAACCCTCTGTCTTTTTCACTAACCCCCATCTTTCTGTCCTTATATCCAGCTTTCTCCCCGACTATATCAGTGGGGATTTTGATTCCATTACAGCAGAGGTCAAAGCTTTCTATGCAGACAAGGTAAGTGGAACAAAACTTGCACACACTCTTATACCTACAGGTGTTCATACAGAAGCAGTAGGATTGTAGGGAGAGTCCCTAACACATGTTGTAGCATCTGGAGATACGAACAAAAAAAGTAGTTGCTTAGAAATTATAGTGGATTAGTCCAAGAAACAAAGGGTAGCATAGTTCAACATCTGGAGCAGCTGGTTTGTCTAAAAAGCCTAGTAAGGTAATTTGTATATGGTAAATGTTAAATGCATTTTTCTTCTTACTGAGCACTCAAATCACCACACCTATCCATTAACACACAGGGAGACACTCAGCAGTTTATTCTGTATTTTAAGCATTGTATCTGTCACTTCTGAAAACAGGCTTGTAGAAGTGAAGATAGAAAGAAATGTATCACTCTGTGAAAAAAACGAATGTTCTTAAGAGTAAGAAAAAGAGAAACAAAATCATTTTTCAAGAGTAATGCAAAATTACATAGGCTGTGAAGATCGTCAGCTTAACTACATGATAGTAATCGATTCAGAGAATCTTGAGATCATGCAGGAGACGAGGTCACTGAATGGCTGCGCTTTTGGGCCTGGCATTAGATGTGACAGTCGTAATTCTGTAGTGAAAATATCCGATAGGGTTCAGGAACAGCTTCAAAGCCAATTTTCACTGAACACAATTCGTGCCTGCATCAGATAAACTGAGGCAAAGTGGAAAACCATCCTGTCACCTGGCAAGTCAAAATTTAGAATTCTGCTTGTGCCTCCTGGGCTAAAGAGAGGATCAACCTCCTGGCTTAGTGCACAGCTGAAAGTCTACTCTCTGTGATGATATAGGTGTGCACGACACAGGTGACCTATATTTGAAGGAAAATGAAATCATTTCTATGAGCACTTGCCTCTTAGCATTTATAAATACAAATTTATCTTTGGGTTGAATCTCACACACTCCCATTTACTAAATATTTTCGGAGTCATACATCACATCCCACACAAATGTTTTCAAAATTAACCAGTGGGTGTTCCACACCTCTTGCCCAGTCTCAGTACCGATAGTCTCCAGTCCCTTCACGACCCTGAATTTGATAACACTTGGGTCACACAAGCTTGGAGAATGATTTCAGCAATGTCCTGTCTCATGGGAAAAATGTGTATTCCCTGAATGCTTGGAAAGTGACTCTTGGAGGTTGTCAACTGTTGCTAGTTGAAATCAGTCGCAAATAGGGTGCTTGTATTTGTTTGGGTCGCTAGCACAATGCCACGGTTAGCCATAGTCTGCATGGAAAATGCCAACTTGTCTGCAAATACTTAAAAAATTAGCACTGAGCAATAGTGAAACTCGAAGAAATGCAACACAAACGTGAAATAGAGCCCATTTGCCTTCAGAGTAAATATTAGATCTTTTGAAACATGTTGGTTTCAGCAGTAAGAAAAACAATCTAAACTACCAGTTTGCAGTCTTCACAGTTTCACAACCACCTAGCGAATAGTTGCCAAATGTTTGCAGACACATCGGCATCTTTCCAAGAGGCTACAGCTGTGCAGCTGTGGCAATCTGCTACAGACCTAAACAATTACAGGGAAGTTTTTAGTGCAGCACCGTACACCTCTTTGTTATTAATTCCACGTAGTGACAGCAAACAACTTACTCACCATCCAGTCAGGTAATATACATTTTTCCCTAGCAACGGGTGGTTACCAGGGTCACTGACTGGCCTTTGAGCCTGGATGTGTGGGGCTTATCAAGTGATTTCACTGCAACTACCAGCAACCACTCACAACCATTCAGGGGAACACTCAAGTAACCGGTGATTGCAAGGCAGCCAATCAGTCCTAACTGAGGCCTTAACAGTTAAGAGGATGGATTCTTGGATGGAGGAGCATCTTCTTCACTTTTTCAAATTAATCATTGCTAAAAATCAACACTATATTTTGAAAAGTCTTCATTAATCAGTGATCATGAAATATTATAATACTAATGATAAAAAAAAAAATCCATACAAAACTACTAGAAACTGGATAAATGCACAAAAATAAAATTTGAAAAGGGTTAGCTACACATAAAGATTAAACTTTGGATGAGGATATTGGAAATGGACAAAGCAATCTGCATTTTTTGTAGGTGACTAAGTTTGCAGATTTAACATAACACGGTCCAGGTACAAGAAGGTGCTTCTCCAGAGTCCCCCTTTGACATTCTTCGTTGTAGCCTTTACTCCCTGTGTACCTCACTGTGCAAGAAATTTGTACATGTAGGCATATTTAGATTCAACTATTCAAGGTCATAAAAATAAAATGCAAATGATTTCATGAAGGGGACTTTCCATTGTTTATAGCAAGCAAAATGTCAACCCACAAGCGCTGTTCAATAAATAATTAATACAGGGCAAGTCAGACATGCATACACACACCCACACCTTAGAGAAAACAAAATACAGTGCCTGTGCGATCTTTGTGCTGTGTCACTTTGATCAGATGCTACTGATGCACACTGTTTACAGTTTGAAATGCAGATTCAGTATCATCACACGTACACACAACACACACATGATTAGGCACCCATCACAGATTATTTGATGTCTTCAGCTGTTTCTCTCTCCTTTTTTCTCTTCTCACGATTTCCCCAGCTCTCTCTGTAGCTATCTGTAATATTAGACCCTTTTCACAAAAATCACACAGGTTGTCTGAAAAAAAGAAGAAGAGAGAAATGCCTTTTTTTGAGGGGGGGTGAGAGAAAAACAGTCTGTTATGGTAATGCCTTTGAAGCAGAAATATGGGAAAATGCGAGCTGTTCCTTCAGAGATTTCTTGCAAACGGTGAATAATTCTGCATAAATGGAAGGGAGAAAACAGGAAAGCATCAGCAAGGGAGGGAGGGAGAGATGGGGGGTGGAGGGTTGGTGGAAGAGGAGGGGAGGAGAGGGAGGATGGATGGGATCAAACAGAGCACAGCGAACAAGTTTGTGATATGACTGCGTGTGTGTGTGTGTGCGTGCGTGTGTGTGTGTGTCAGTGAAGTAGCAAAGTCGCTGTGTTTTGGAGGAAAGTGACACTGTGGAGAGAGAGAGAAAGAGACAGAAGGAAAGTAAGCCGGAGCATGGTTGTTGTAGTTTAGGGCCACTGACTGGAACCTCTACATTATTCAACAACACAAGCCAAAAACAGCCAGACAACAGTAAAACACTGATTTATACCGCTCTCCATCTCCCTATCGCTTTCAGTTTTTCTCTTATCCACCTATCCCTTATCTTAGGTATTTGTTACACTATCTATGTTTATGTACATCTGTTGGATTGTGTTTTGTTGCCTGCTTGTTTTTTTGTGATTTGTTTTTAATATATTGATATTTGCGTGTGTGTGTAGGGGTGCAAGCTGATAGAAACAGCTGACCAGGATCTTACGGACTACACCAAATGTCTCACAATCATGCTGGAGGAGATTCAGAAGCGACAACTACAGGTAAATGCCACACAACTCATATATGGTTCTGACTTACTTCTGATATTTATGGTTTATATTTTAAAGGAATTCTTTGACATTTTTGGAAAACACTTTCTTCTGAATTTATCAAAATGACTGTTAAACTCCAGTCCTATAAGACAGCATGAAGTCCTGGATGCAGGTGGCAAAAGCTTATCCAAATACCCCTAATGCCAAGGTCAAAGTCCGTGTTGGGCAGATGTATTGGGCAGTGTTACAGACATAAAATCCTAATCTGTTGTTTGCAGTGATCAGATTAGCAAACTATAGTATTATTTGGTGATTATTTGGCGATAATTGGGCTTGATAGGTACCCCTGTGTTAAACATGTACATATGAGCATAACGCATATGCTTTAGTCCATATTGCTTTATTAAAGTCACATTTCATCTACATATCACTTTCAGAAACAATTGTTTTTTTTATTTTTATTTCACTTTATAACAGCTTTTATGACAGTAACTGGCTGCAGATGTAGCACCGGGTAAAAGAAATAAGCAAAGCTCACGTCTCCCTCAGTTTTGTGCCCTTAAGTAAGGCATTCAGTCTTCAGGTACTTAAGATGAGGTGCTCAGAGGTCAGTAGTGTTTTACTGTCGGTTTTCTTGTGGCAAATCCCTGTAGTGAATGCGTGTGGGTGTATGGATATGAAACAATCTCTTTGCCTGAAAAGACCATCCGTGCTCACTCAACGTCCCCTGAAGAAATAGCTGCTGAAAAATATCATTGGAACAGCATTACACCTACACAGAAAATGCAAAGTGAGATTTGGCTGTCTTAAAAATATGAAATACTTCACTTTTGTTGTGATCTTTTTCAAAGTGTAAAAAGATTTCCCAACAAGCTGATATGCACTACTCCGAAATGAGCTAAACAGGCTGCTCAGCGCCTCATGCCCAGTTCGCTGCTGCAGAGCCAGACACGCAGACAATAACACGATCCAGAGATTCATTCAGTTTCCAGCCCGACTCCCAAAATGCCAACAGAATGTCCATAATGTTAGTAATTTAGTAAACAGCACAGTTTTTAATTTAAAAATGCTAATAGTGATGATTGTTAAGACGAGCACTGTCCTAGAACATTATCTTTTGACTCTGCCTTCCTCTCGACCTTTCTCTGTTTCTTTTTGTCCTTTTACTAGAATTTTTGACAGCATAATAAGTGTTGCTCCAATCACACACTAGCGTCCCAATCACTTCACATTGCTAAGCTACAGAAACCCATTCATCTCATATTCACATGTTGCCACATTTTTACTCTGTTGCTCACTGCCAGGCTTTAAGAGGAGCTATACTTTTGTCCTTCCTTTCCGTGGGCTCTTTTTTTTTCTCCCCCAGCTAATATGTAATCTGCCTTTGAACCGGCACACACTGTTTGTCCGTCTGTTTGCCTGCAAGAGATAGGAGCCTGGCAATCAGTTTTTGGCTCTCTGTAAGAGTTGCTGGTGATGACTTTTTCTGTTTGTTTCCCAAGGCTTTTCCATCTTTCTTTACCCACTATAACTCTTACTTGACCTTTTGTTCTTTTCAGCACTTAGAATAGGCATGGGTTATATAAAATACTTTTTTATGATAGTTTTATACGTATTCTTTTGTTTTCAGATTCACCGATTTTCATTTAAATGAATTAGATATGTAGATGAAGTAATAACATATGCAGATTACTGGGCATTGTGATGTTTGGGCTTTGAAGAGTCGCCCTATCAGCCCCCGTATGGTTTTTCCTCCATACAGCTTAGCACTCAATTGATCTCATATTGTGTTGGTTGAAATCCTCCCTTAAAAAAAAATGTTACCATGGGATTATGCTGGGTAGATTAGTGTTTGTTTATTTACACACATATATATATTTATATATGTGTAGTTATGTTTGTGTGTTAGTGCTTTGAAAAGTGTGTATCTCTGTGAATGTGTTTGTGGGCAGCTAGTTCTTTTGTGTGTGAATTCAATTGCTGTTTACATGTGTTTTCCTCTCTAAGAAGCGCACATGTGTATGTGTGTCCCAAAGTCTGATCAGTCTGCTGGTCTGTTTATCCTCTCACAGCTCTGTTTATTTAGCTCATTTCTTCTCAATCCCCCATTTTTACTTTCTTTAGTCTTTCTTTTGTTTTAATCCTTAATAAATGGAAGTGGGGTTTTTTTGTGTTTGTGTAAAGAGAAGTGACCAAATGTATAAAATCAGCTTGTGAAGTTTTATTGAGCCATGCGAGTTTCCTTGCTCTGCTTACTGGTTTGTTTTTAGTAAACAAACATGAAATATGAACAAATAAAAATTCATACAGTTGTGTAGTGTTTGATATGCGTAGCTGCCACAACAGAAGTGATGATGGAAAGCGAAGATTGAGCAAGCCGGTGTGTCATTGGACGCCGAAACACAATACAGTGTTTTGTTTTGTTTCTTTCATCCTCTTCTCATTGTTCTGCATTCTTTTTTCAGTATTTGTTATTTTTTTAAGATTTCGTGTCCTGTATTTTTGTCACAGTGTCAAGAATGTAGAACTAACCCTGATTTTGTCAGAGCACTCTTGTACATAACAATTATAAAGGCACGTGTTCTTACTAAGCTATAACACAGGTATGGAGGACATCACAGATGAATTTGGGGCTTTACTGTTGCACGTAAGAGGTCACACTTAAATAAGAAAATACATAAGTGTTCTGTGGATTCATTATTGAATAATAATTTGCACTAAAAGTGACAGGTGGTAATGACAGATTGTCTCACATCTCCAAATCCCCTTACTTTGTCCTGCAGACCTCCACTGTTGTTCAAAAACACACGTGCTCTTTGGCCACCTTGTCAGATACACCTAATTACACATTGCAGAAACTCTATGTATTTAGGTAAAGACTGAAGTTGCTGAAGTTGAAACCGAGCATCAGAATGGGGAGGAAACAGGCTGGTCTGAGTATTTTAGAGAAACTGCTGATCTACTGGGATTTTGCAGAGAATAGTGTGAAAGAGAGAAAATATCCAGTGAGCAGCAGTTCTCTGAGTGAAAATGCCTTATTGATGCCAGAGGTCAGACGAGAATATTCAGACTGCTAGAAGTTGATATTAAGGCAACAGTAACTCAAATAACCACTTTCTAAAAGATATGCAGAAGCACATCTACGAAGGCAAAACACATCTAACTTTGAAGGAAATCAGCTACAACAGCAGGTACCATTCTAAAACTCTGAATTAAGGCAGTTCTACAGGCAAAAGCGGGCCTAACCCGGTACTAGCAAGGTATACCTTGAGTGTAGATGATCCACTCTGACACACAGGTTGACACGGGCGTAGTGCTATAAAACATTAAATGTGTAGGCTGTTGGCATGTAGATAAAAACAGCCCTGAAAGAAATTTAATTTTGACTCTGGTTTGAGTAACGGTTGCTAAACGCTAACTTGCTCAGCAGTTTCATTCTTGCGATATGTTAACACAAAGAAAAATCACAGAGTAACAATATCTGTATCATGTTAAGAGTGGAGTTTGTTTACCAAGTGTTGTTTACAGTTAGGTGATGTCTCTGCATGTGGGGGCGTCTGCCAGATGTTGAAATAACCTCAATCGCAGCACTTTGTTTTGTTTTAACTGCAACTCTTGAGGGAGAAAGTCAGTTATGACATATTTGGTTTGGCAATTTGTGCTCCTGTTATGAACTAAAGCACAAGTTATGGCTTAGTTCCTTTAAGTGATGAAGAACAATGAATACACTGAAGTAATAGTGCACTGTTGTCAAGTAAACAAGGTAATAAAAAAAAGGCTGACAAAGGCACACTGCAGTAGTTTTCTGCAGTGTAATTACAAATGGGCAAAGCATGCACGCACATAGGGCTGTGTGATATGACCAAAATTTCTCATGCTTCTCATCCGTAAACACTCTGCATACTCTTTCACATGATTCAGTTTATTTTGAAAAGTTTCAACAGGATCTTGATTGATAGATTGATTGATCATACTTTATTCATCCCGAGGGAAATTGGTTTAAGGCTGCCAACCGTGCCAGCGCCATCTTACCCTTCCGACCATACAACATTACACAAACATCACATGGGGAAGACAGGTCAGAGGGGTATAACATGGAAAATGCACAACATGAGGAAAGATAAGGAGAAAAAAATAACTCCCCCCAGACTGAGCTCCAACAGGGAGATCAGTTTGAGAACAGAAAAAAACACCTCTGCACATAGCACATGAAAAAACTCTTAATACACCAAAGAAACACATGACAAGCAACAGGGGTGGGTAAAGGGTGAGAGACAGCCAGTGTAGACAGTGCATCCATGCCTACAGCATAAGCGCTGGTCTCCTTGATCCATCGCAGGGGAATAAGCGTCAAAGGCGTTTGGAGGGGGAGGGGGGGATGAGTGTATATCTGCACGTGTATATATATGTCTCTGTGTGTGTGTGTATGTGCATGTATCCATCTTGAGCTTTATTGTGAAAGGTTTATGTGGAAAATAAACAAGCGGACACGCGATGATTTTACCGTCATTGTCGCTAACGACAACGCATAAAAACAGTCGCTTGTCCGTCCGTAGTGTGGTTATATTAAATATAAGAGAAAGAGTGAACTTCAAGAAATTAATATAGCCACTGCAGTGACCATCAAAACAATGAAAAAATATTGCCCTAAACAGTTTAATGTGCAACACCACAAAACAAACGATAGTCTAAAATGAAACGATAGACGTTTTTATATCGTCATCCAATATATGTCGTTATATCGAACAGCCCTACACGCACATATAAAAAATAAGCCTATAATCGTATCTACAGTATTTACACAAATGCACATTTTTAGTAGCTGTGCTTCTGTACGCTACTACAGTGGATTTAACAAAAAAACCCCAAAGATGTCATTGAAGTTCTGACTCTCAGCTTTAATTTTATACATACTACCCCAATTTTTGAAGACTTACAAGTCAATGACAGCCTGAAGTCTAGAACCCATGGATATTACTAAATGCTGTGTTTCCTCCCTTGAATGTTCTGCTTGGCCTTTACTGCAGCTACCTTCATTTGTTGCTTGTTTGTGTGTCTTTGTTGCATTTAGTTGTGTATTTTATAATTGAAAAGCATGCTGCATTGGGTGGAACATTTGTCAGGTCTTCAATGGCCAAGTCAGTCAATCTAGTTTCTTTTCTTTGAGCAACTCTTGGGTTGCTTTTGCAGTATGCTTTGGGTCATTATCCATCTGATCAGAGATTTCTATCAAAAGTCTGAAAGTTCTATCAATAGTTGTATCATGAGGAAAAATAAGTGACCTGGTTTAATTGTTATCATTTGCTTTAGTTGTCTTCCTTGGTCTTTCAAACCTCTTGGTGCTGCTGAGATGACCATTGCAATTCTTTTTTTCCTAAGAATGTAACAGATTGTTGATTTGGCCATTGTTGTGGCCAAATCATGTGTTTGCTATAACTCTGGTGGGTTTATTTAGGTTTTTCAAGGTAATGATGACCTTTAATTACATCAATATATCTTTGGACTTCATATTGAAAGTTCCAGCAAACTGCTACCATATGCAAATTCAACACTTAGAATCAGCTCCAGATATTTTATCTGCTTAATTTGTTATTAAGGGAACAGACCTCACGTGTATATGAAACTGTTTGCCAGTCCGTTGTCCGATTACTTTTGAGCTTCTGAAAATGAGTGATTATGACTATGTATAAAAATGGTTGTGATTCTTAAACAGTTAATGTTATACTTTTGTAAACACTTTAGGCTAAAGCTGAAAGTGTGCATGTTGGCCTGTTATGATGTTTAATTTAAAATACATTTTGGTGGTGTACAAAAATATATAAGAATATATACAAAATTGTTTCAAGTTGTTCTCAACTTAAGTAACCACTTAACTCTCTCAGCTCTCCTGCACTCCCTGCCCAGCTTTACTGCTTGACACAGATGCACACTTATACAAGGCCTTCAGAAAAAATGGTTATATATGTATGGAGCCTGGGAAATTAAGCATTCCACTTTAAGGAATATCATCTAAAAGTAGCATAGATTTCAAATGTTCCAATTTGTGCAGCATTAGTTGCTTTAGCAACTTCAGCCCAGGAGCAAACTTTCTGATGCAAGAAGGAGTCTCCAAGAACATGAAAAATGTATCACAGGATCCGCAGGTACATTAATTCCTGCAAAGTTGGTCTCAAATGTGCGTGTTTCTGCAACTGGGAAAAGACTATAAAAAAATTAACCTGCATTTATAAAAATTATATTGGAAAAAAGAAAATAGTTAGGAAATTAAAACAAAGCCAAAGAGCAGGCCCTTTGAAATAATAACCTGTGGATAGATGAATCACAGATATAATGGCAGTTGATACGTTGGGCACAAACCAAAGGCAGCCTTTTAGGATAATTTCATGGCAGTTGGGACACATGGTGGTGGAAATGTTGTAGTTTGGGCTTGTTTCACCGCCTCAGGGACTGGTCTTTGATCATCTATGAATTCTGCTTCATATCCAAAACTACTTGAAGATAATAGGCCATCTGTCTCCATGCTGAAGTTGAACAAGAAGTGGATAGGATAATGATTCTATGCACACTTTCATATCCGCTAAGGAATAGTTTGAAAAGAAAAAAAGAAAGAAGGGTTATGGAACAGCCTAGTTAAAGCCCGAATTTGAATTTAAAATAAATATTGCAGGGAATATAAGGGACAGGGCATTTAAGTAGGGGTGGGTTTTGATTATCGATGTATCGATTAAAATCGATTCTGGCTTGGATAACGTGATATCGATTCATTAAAATCCTGAATCGATTTTTAAATATAAATGTGTTTTGCCCGAAATCCCAGAATCTCAGGTGAAACCTCACAAAATTTCAACAACCACCAAACAGCTAAAACAGTAAATGAGAGCAGGAACACAGATTCTGCACAAAGATGTAAACACAAAGCGCGGAGCCTCCGACGGATCAGAATCAGTGAGATGTCGCCTTTCTCACCTGACGGCACGGACACGGTCGGGGCTGAAAGCCGACAGCTCGCTGATTCTGATGTTTCAGCGGGTCCGCGCTTTGTGTTTACGCCCTTTTGAAGCTGCGAGTTTTTATCTCTCTCCAAACAATATTGACTGAACCAGCAGCAAAAGAAGATCCAAAATTCGCTTCACATAAACATTGTCATGGACTCCCTCTTACTTTTCCTGTTTTGCTTCCACCACGATAAAATCACATTTCATGCAGAGCTAGCTGTTTCTCTCTCTCTCTGTGTACTTCAAGAACAGTTTCCCGTCTAAAAATCTGTTTTCTGCATTTTTCGCTTGCTTATTACGCACAAGTTGTTTACAGCGCTGTCGACCGCTGTGTTTTTTCCTTTTACTTACTTCCGAAAAGAAAGCCTCATTTCTGCTGTTCAATACTGAACAAGTTTAAACGTTTTAAAATTATGCAAAATTGCAAACGCGTATAATGTCTAATAATGTTTGTCTCTAATGTCTCTAATTGTCTCAGAGCGTGTCTCTAATAAAACCGCTGTAACTTTGCTCTGCTTCACTTCAGCAGCATAATGTTCATATGTTGATTAATGGTTTTCTTTTGTTTTTGATCTACTGCAGAATATTTTTTATAAAATCCCAGGCCAAGAAAGTTGCCTTCATGTTTTTCTGTGTTTTATCCTCAGTTACTTTGACACAAAGGCATCTGCTGTGATGCTTACACCTTTGATAACGTCTCGAAAGTCTCAGCTTTCTTTTTATAGAAATAAAAATATGGAAATGCACTGATACGTGATCAGAATTATAATATTTCTGACTGTCTGAGGCTAAATTTACCCGATTCAAATCGAATAGAATCGGATTGAATTGAATCGTGGATCTAATCGATTCTAGAAATCAGTGACGATACCCAGCCCTACATTTAAGGCAACCATTAATCATCTTGAAGCTGAACATATTTTGTATGGAAAAGTGGCCAAATATTTCAACATGACTTTGCCTGACACTGGTGGACAGTTATGCAACTGTATATTTATATATATTTTTTCTCTTGTTAAACAAATGTGCACCTTGTTAAGGCTAAAGGTGCGAAGTGTGTGCTTGTTGGAAGGTGTTGAAAAGTTTTCTTTTCACTTCACTGTAAATTCTCAAAGTCAGAAATTGTTAAACAGAGAAATAACCTTTTCATTATTCGGTTTTGGATGTCACAAATGTTCTGCAGCCCAAGCTATCCGCTGGTGGTGAAAAATGAAAATAGTAATAGCTCGTATTACCTAGTATTTCTATGCTGTATGTGGCTGAAGTGCAAACATCAAAGAGTGTATGATTGATGGTTCATTGGAACATTTTTCATGTTGGTGTGACGGTCAGTCAGGATGTGACAGCACCTTTGCCCCTTAGACTCTGTCTGATGTTAAGGCTGGCAGCACTGGTGCTTGACTGCTTGGAGACTTTGTATGAGGATATAGCTGCTCAGAGCCATATACATTGTTCTATAACAAAGTCCTGCCCCAAAGTTAAGAAAAACGTTTTTTGAAGTTACTTTGAAGTTCCAGGAAATAGCAATTTATTTGCTTTTAACAAGTTCCTGATACTAATTTTGTCTACTTTTGGTTTAATTCTTCACATTTCTACACAGATAGTGCAGCTCAGTTGTTTTTTTTAATCTGTTCTCCATCTTATTTCTTTGGAGTTCCTTGGTGTTTGTTTCTCTGCCAAGGTGAAAGCCTTGTTGTTCTCTTTATTGTTTGTGTGTCTGTCTATCAGTAGAATTATATAAAGCCAAGATTGTTAAAGTGTTTTGCTCTCCAAGTGCCCTTCTTTTGTTTCTTTGACTTAACGTATACTGCTTGACAAATTTAATGGCATTTGTTGGGAAAGTAGAATATGTGTAGAACCAGAGGGAAGACGAGTCCTTACAGTTTTCTTTCTTGTTCCCATCGTTCATTCTTGAAAATAGCTGGGTATTACTCTAAGAAGTTCTTTGAAATTTGTTGGTTAGCAGACAAATTACAGTCATTCTAACTAACATGATAATTTGTACAAGTCCTCCATTTACAAACCCCTACATTTCATAATATCTTCATGATTCATATCTTTTCCCCAAATCACATAGCATCAGTCAGGAAGTGTGATTTATTTTGATCAAAATGCATGCACTGTAGTTGGTTTTAATCATATTTTGTTTTCTACAGCTACATCTGTCGTTTTGCTGATGGCATGTTAATTGAAGCAAAGCAAACACTAACATCATGCCACAGACTGCTTTATCAAACACTAACATTTTTCAGTTTTCTTAACCTCTCGTCGCTCTTCCAGGTGGATACAATAGTGACACTGGGTGGTCTGGCAGGCAGATTTGACCAGGCCATGGCATCTGTGGAAACCCTCTACCACGCTCTGTCAATGACACAACTCCCACTGTTGATCATACAGGGAAAAAGCTTGGCATATCTACTCAGACCTGTGAGTATATACAAACCCACAAAACACCCACAATTCGTTTAGGTATTGTAGGTAAATAAAGTTACCGGTTCAGCTACTTGCCCTTAACATCCACATGCTAATGTAAAATGTAACATTTACCCTCCACTTTTTCTATTTTTTTTCTTTTGTTTTTCTTTCTTTCTTTCTTTTTTGCATTTTTGAGCTACAAAGCACATTTTCCTTTCATTTTTCATAAAGCTGAAGGGTGGACTCTAGCTTTTCTTAAGCTGCATTATAAACACTACACACACAAGGAGACCACACTATGCTAGCAGGGGAGCACAATGTCTCCCAGTTCTTCTAATCACCCCTCGCCCAGCCCTTCATTTTCTGTTCTTTCTCAAAAATGTTCTTTTCCTTGGTCTGCTTCCACCTTGATTGGAGTGTTGAACACTTTGTTTCTTTGTTAAGTAATCACTTCAAGAGGACACACATACGTGCGCGCACACACACACTTCTCTGCTCTTATGGTGCCCCAATTTGCTGTTGTGAATGAGAGTGAGCGAATCTCTTTTGATGCTCCTAAATTGTTTTCCCTCAATACTAACCACTTTCTCATGCTCTTCTCACATGATTGAGTTTACAAGTAGGCTGAATGACCGCCATTTGGGACATGTGTTAACCCCCTCCCCCACTCTCTCCGTCGTCCCCAGTGTTGTTTATTTGAGAGGTCCTCGGGACAAACAACTAACAGTCACTCACTTCCTGATGACACCTTGTAACACCTTAAGTAAACCTCTCTCTCATACACACTCTCCCTACTTCTTGTCATTATTCCAAAGGCGTGTTGTCATTTGCTGCTTCATACCTCGACACCTCCAATTAATCTTACTTCAGTGAAGGTAAATTAAGCTCGTTTGTCAACGCAGCTCCAATTCACCAGCGACTGATGAACGCAAACGCCTGTACATGAAGGTGAACGCAACCTTCGAAAAGCCCAGTGCTATTTGTTCAAGTTACATCTGTAATTGAAGTGTTTACAACTTTTGCCAAATATCCTCACCACACATATTTCGTGCAATCGCAGGTTCGTTAAGTGCTTCGTTTCAGCGTTTGGCACAATCAGCACATACGGAGTTCACGTTTTGTATGCAAGCTACACACCAAAAACAAATGATGACCAGAACTAAATTACATTTTTTTCTGTTTCACAAATTTGGGGATTATGTCACCAGAGCCAGCACATACCATTCAAGCTGCTCATAACTCAGTGGTTCTTAACCTTGTGGGAGGTACCGAACCCCACCAGTTTCATATGCGCATTCACTGAACCCCTCTTTACTGAAAAATAAAATGTGATTTTTTTCAAATTCAAGACATAGATATGTTTTTTACTGGTGCACAAAATGAGCCGTGCATGTCACGGCGGAGGCTCTGCCGAACCCCTGAGACCGACTCACCGAACCCCTAGGGTTCGATCGAACTCAGGTTAAGAACCACTGTCATAACTGCAGTATCCCATTAAACGTGCACACTGTATGAAATGTATGAGGCATGCCTCTTCGTCTTGATTAAATCAGTGTATATCTGTGACTCAGGGATGAACTGATTTAATCAGGGTTGTGTCTGTTTGTTTTACTTTTTGTCTCCCAAATGAAGTGTCAAAGTTTTATTATGCTGTCTTTGGGAAATGTGCACAAGTCATGTGGTTTCTATAGCTGGCTCAGGGTGTCGCATAATTATGGTGTCTTTTATTAAGTTATGGATAGGGACACTGTGAGGGCTGCTTACAAGCTTTTGATTCTGTGTCCCTAAACACTAAGAGGATGTTTTAATCAGTCTAGGTCCCAATGTAGAGCTAAATTTACTCAGTTTCGATCTTTAAAAAAAAGAGAGGAAAGTTACATTGACTGCGTCTGCTTTATTTGTTTTTCTCTTAGTATCTGCTTTATTGAATCTCAGTTGGAGGACCAACCAGAGCCACATTTACTCAAATTAGCATCCCAGCCTATGAAGATGCTTGAGAAATCTGTCTCTCTGTGTTGTGGGACATTCAATGCACAACACTGTGTCAGCCAAATTCATGCTATAAATCATTCTAGCACACACACTCGAGGTCAGAACTACAGGCCTGTTTACCTGATGCCCTTTCAAGGAGTGAAACTTGTCAGTGCAGTAGCTGATTTAAATGATAAAGTGTGATACCTGAGGTAACTTGTCTACCTTCTGTGCCAGAGCAAGTTCTGTACTTATATTAATAATTTAGTTTAATAAATATGAGACAGAAAATGGCTTCAACTGTTCATTGAAGTAATGAAGGGAGGGTAAGAAAGCTCCTTAAATAAATCTAATAGTATTCTTATTACTAATTTTCCCTCATGAGCATTTTCCTTCTGCTTCAACAGTTTTGTAATTTCCTGACCTTATACATCTGTAGAGTAGCTAATAAGTGGGAGGTGGGAGACTGCAAAGAAAACAGGCATCTAATATCTGTCAATCAGCGGTTAAATCTCAGAGCTAATGTGCAGACACAAGTGAGTAATACTTAAAATAGTAAATTATTTTAATTGATGACTTTACCCAGTCATTAGATGTACTCACCAGCCGCTTTCTTAAGTCTACCTGCTCAACTCCTTGTTTAGCGCATATATCTAATTAGCAAATGGCATGGCAGGAACTCCATGCATTTAAGGATGCAGACATGGTCAGGACAACCTGCTGAAATTCAAGCCAAGCATTAGAAAGGGAAAGAAAGGTGATTTAAGTGTTTCATAGACTGATGATCTACTGGGATTTTCCCACACAACCACTACAAAGAACAGTCCAAAAAAAGAGAAGGAAGAAAATATCCACTGAGCATTTGGTCTCTAGATGAATGTCTTGTTGATGCCAGAGGTCAGAGCACAATGGCCACACTGCTTTAAGCTGATAGGAAGGCAGCAGTATCTTAAATAACCGCTTGTTTCAACCAAAGTACTGAATACAGAAGAGGATTTCTGAACATGCAGCATGTTGAACATTGAAGCAGATGGTCTACAGCAGCAGAAGAACATACCAGGTGCCACTGCTGTTAGGTAGGAATAGGAAACTGAGGCGTAGACTCACCGAAATTGAACAATAGATGATGTGAAACAGATTGACTACAATGAAGTTTTTTTTTCTTCTGTGATGTGGCATAAAGAACATGGATGCATGGATCCATCTTACCTTCTACTGAAGGTTCACACTGGTGACCACAAGATAGCCATGATCTGATGGCTGCTTCCAGCAGGGTAACAGACCACATTGTCAAATCATCTCAAACTGGTTTCTTGAACATGACGATGACACTCAAATGGCTTCTGCAGTCACTTTTGGATGTGGGGGAATTGCAGATTCATATGGATGTGCAGCTCACAAATCTGCAGCTGCTGTGTGATGCTGACATGTCAATATAGACCAAAATCTCTGACTAGTGTTTCCAGCATGTTGTTGAATATATTCCTTGAAGAATTAAGGCTGTTCTGAAGGTGAAAGGAGATCCAACCTGGTACCAGCAAGTTAAGTCTAAAAAAGTCCCTGATGTTATACCAAAAGAAAATTATTTTATTTAAAGCAGAGATGTTGGCCGGAATTAGTAAAACAAAGTATTTTGGTCAAAAAAATCTATCTTGTAGTTTGTACAGAATGTCACAGTTTCTTTGTACTGTGTGAAAAGCTTCTCTTTCTTTTCATTAAATTCAAGCAGCATCAGAAAATATGCACCATCTGATTTAAAAAAGCGCAAAATTACAGTACCATTATACACGGGCCGACCACTGTGTTTATCTTTATTGAATTATCTGAAAATTACACCAGGCTGCTAAAAAGTAAGCACATGCGTTTTGCCTTGCTTTGATTTTCCTCTGTTCCTTATTTACTGTGTCACTTTGACAAGTTTACACAAAGATACTGTGTTTAAGTATAGAAAACATCCTCGGGGTTGTTTCCTAAACACCAAAAGCTCCAAAGCTCAGGATTTCCCCATCATTCCTTCCCTCTGGCTCTGCAACTCCAGGAAGCCAAGCGAAGAAAACTTTAAACACGTCAAAAGAAGGATTTCAAACTCTTAATTGAATATCGTGCTGTCTTTGCCTGCGTGATACGTCTATCTTTTAGATGACTGGTGCAAGCTGTAGCTGTCAACACTTTTTGTGTTGGCATTAAACATACCAACTCAAGTGTTACGAGTGGATGGTGAATTCAACGTACACGGCAACGGTAGCCCCGAAACGTATCGCGTTGATGGCACGTAATTGCTCACTCTGAGGCTTGTTATACTTTCCTGCAGCCACAGAATTGTTTATCAAATATGTATCTGTGTGCTAGAATGAAACTAGGGTATTTCTTTTTATATTTGGTGTACACCGTGGATGTGAGAAACTTTTTGTCTTGACCTTTTGTGTCCCAGCACCAGGCTTTAATATAACCAGTGCACTGAGACCAAAGTCATTATTTAGCCTGAAAAGTTGGAAACTAGCTTGCACCTACACTGTGTGACTCCCTTGCTTTTTTTTGTTACCCAGCTCGAGTTTTTCAAAGGGATACTGTGACATTTCAGAATTTTGTTTATGTTTGTTGGCTTTGTAAAGCGCTACATGAAATGTCACCGTGGCTCAGAAAAATTTCTTTATCCATCTTTTAGACACAATGAGGAAATAGAAAATTTACATTAGATTCTCTGCTTTCAAAGGCATTAAGACACATTCCAGCAGAAAGAACCTTTTTTTTTCTTGCTTCAAGTGAGGTATCTGTAACTCTGTAATTATTGTTGACTTTAAAGTTGCTTGTGAGTACAGTTATAGGTGTGATTAACAAAAATGTCGTGCCCCCCTGCAATGCAAAGTAAAGAAAATTATAATTCAAAAAGGCTAGGTCTTTTTTCTTTTTTTTTTACTCTAGAGTAAGAACCGACAATTGGTTACAGCTTTGACAAGAGCAATATTTTATTTTAATGAGCCTTGGTGAAGAGGTTTCTCTGTTGGGGCTCAAAATCTTTAAGAAGTCTTTCTCCAGATTTAATTTCCGCTTTCATGTTTGTTTGTCTCAGTGATTTTTCACACACACACACAAAGTCACATAGACACTAATTCATGTTCACACTAATGCTGTGTGCCATCAGGGCAGCCACAGACTGGAGGTGAATACAGGTCTGGAGGGAGACTGGTGCAGCCTGATTCCAGTAGGTGGACCCTGCCAGACACTCACCACTGGGCTCAAATGGAACCTGAGTGAGTCCTTTTTTGTCTATTTTTTTTAATTATTTTGATGATTATTATTATAATTGCTGGCATTTGAATAGCAATCAGTCTTCCACTTTTATTGCTGCCAAACTTTTAGGGCTCCGTACAATCTACAGTATATTTGTATAATGTGTTTTATTATGTCTGCAGTAAATGAGAATACAATCGTAATTTATTTATTGCTTGCAGAGAATTTAAATTTAATTTGAAGTATGAAATGTTAAGTGCAGTTGTGTTTATGTAGAGCCAATTCGCTACAAAACCATCCCCATGACTTCCATATAAAGCACTTTTCATCATACACACTATGAAGTACAGATGTTTAATTTGCTTCAGTCAAATCAAGCTGCAGTTTTAACTATTTTTAAGTGTTACACGTATGTTCTAATATGTGACAGAGAGCCTTTTATATTCTTAAATATTTTGTTGAAATCCAATCAGACACTCATCTGAGGACCCATGTGGTCTTACCCCAGTCCAACTCTTTTGGCCAGCTGTGTACTTAATGAGTTGGCACAGAACAAACAGCCACCCGTAGGAGGGAAACCTGAACCTTCTGTCAGGGGGTTGCGTAATATGTCTGCAACTCGGTTGATGTCCACTCTCGTTGTTTCCATGTCCATGTGTATGTTTCTGCGAGTCTATACACTCGAGTGAGCAGGCGCATGTGTCTCCACTTGTTTTAAAATGTCCCTGTGTTTGAATATGCGAGCGTGAATGCGGACCATGTGTAAACTTGTTGTTTGTTTGCACGTGTGTGCATGTGTGTGCGTGTGTTTTTTTTAATCAGCTACTGTGTGTTGTATATTTACTCAGCACACCTGTGAGATGGCCTTCTGAATGGTAATGAGAGGGACTTTAAACATGAGAGTATGCAGATTAGCCAGTGATAACAAGATGCATAATTAACAACATGCATATTTAGAAGGATAGAAGTAATGATTTCCCTGTGGGGTCGGAAGGAAGGACCTGAATATGAAACAAAAAATTATGATTTTTTTTCCCCGTCCTCACATGTTTTCCTTTTGCATGTGTGAGTTTTCATATAGCAACAGTCAGCGTTGGGGAAGCTACTTTGAAATCATAGCTTTGGAACCTTCCAATTACTTCACTTGAAGACGCTGAACTTCAGCAAAGCTACTCTAGGGAGATGTCTGCTTTGGTTATCTAAAGCTACTTGGAAAAAGTAGTTCAAACTGTTTTGTAAAGAAATAAACACTCTTTGCAGTAGAGACTGTATTTACTCTTGGTTAGTAAAAATGTTGGTGCTTTTTAGTGGATGTGATTAAGCGTGGATATCTTTTTTAGGCTTAGATCAGGGATCTTGATCTTTGATGACATTGGGGATGCATGCTTGTTCTTTTCTGGGTGGCTGTGGCTCAGAAGGTAGAGCAGGCCATCTACTGATTGGAAGTTTTGTGATTCGGTCCCTTGCAGCTCCAGTCTGCACGCCCAGGTATCTTTGGGCAAGATACTGAACCCCAAGTCGCTCCTGATGTGTTCATTGGAGTGTTAATGTGTGTGAATGTTAGATAGAAAGCATTTTGGCATAGAGTGCTTGTATGAATATGTTTGAATGAAGCTCATAGTGTAGAGGACTTGTGCTACGTGAATAACTGCTGTATGGAAATGTGAATGCAGCTAAGCTATCACATATAGCTAAATGCTGCTTCTTAACACTGGCAACAGTGAGTCTTATATTACCCTTTTTCTTTCGGTTTGTGTGTTTGTATTTTCTGTATAAATTTGTGCACAATTTTCATTGCAACTTGCTCGGGGAAGTCCAAGCCACCACATTGCCAGCCTCTGGTGACACTATGACTCTTTAGAAGTCCATTGAAATGATACGCCACACTTTGGTTCAAAGCATTTCTATGATGAAAAATATATGATCATTCAATAAAGACAGAGTTTTAGGCTGTCAGCCACTGCAGCTTTGCTGGCCCAAAAGAGACTCTTTTTTTCTTTGTATCCGGGGGTTATTTTTTCTGTTTCTTTAAAGAATCCAATTGTTATTAATGTTATGTTGTAGAGAGAAACATTTGAATAACCATTCAATTATTCGGCAAACATATTTCTGGTTATTGTGCTCCATGGCAAGGAACGGATTGAGCCGAAATACCCTTGGCCCAAATTAATACGATCGCATGCTAGTTTATCAATAATTGGTATTGTTCTGATGTCAGATAAGACACAGTACATGTGCAACCTCATATAATTGGGGGGCAGATATCTTGAAACACCAAGAAAATACATGAGTAGATACCAGACAGGGTTATGAAAAAAGCTGTACTTCTGTTGTTTTCCTCAGCTGACCCTTTAAGATACAAAGGTCAGCTGACACCAGACTGTCAACAGTGGAACTTAGGAGCACATGGGTCAGTGCCCCATGGTACAAGCAGGAGGGAGATACTGATGGCAGCAAAGTCAGCTTCTGAAGGTCATGCAGAAGTGTTTTGAGATTTCTGCAGGCAGTTTGCAGATAATCAGTAATCAACCTATAGCTTATTAGCTTACCCACACTTATTCAGGCATTTTAAAGGAAAGTCAAAAGTAGTGGTTAGTAAATGTGATGAGGTGCTTGTCTGCAGACTTCAAACTATCATACGGAGTAAGTTCCATTGAGAAAACATACGCTATATGGACAAAAAGTCTCATTGCCGCAAGCATTTAAAATCTTGCACCTAGCCATGCAAGTCTGCCTTTTACAAACATTTGTAAAGAATTGGTCTTACTGTAATAGGATCCATGTTCCAGCAAGTCAGTTTGTGGATTTTTTTTCCCTCCAGGTGCTCCAGGATCCAGCATCTACTATTGCAAAGTGGAAGCATTACATACCAATGGCACTGTTGAGACACACACTCCGTAAAAACGTCCTCTGACATTAACATCAGCAGAAAAGTGCACACAGGGAGCTTCTTGGCATGGGTAGTGCTTGCTATAATTTGACATTTTGTACATTGAATTGATTTTCTGCATATTTAAAATAGAATATTTTTACACTGATCATATCATATATACACTGAAGGGTAAGATGCCGCTGGCACGGCTGGCAGCCTTAACCCAATTTCCCTCGGGATGAATAAAGTATTATCAATCAATCAATCAATCAATCAATCAATAAGGCGGACTTTTACTATAGATGTCTGAGAACTTAAAACTAGTATTACCACTTTGCAGTTGTATGCCTCTATGACCAAATTCCCATCATTTCTATCTTGGGTTTAAGAGGACTTTTTTTTATTTTTTTGAGAAATTTCCATTTTTTCAGCCGTTACTGAGATATCACAATCACAAGATTGGAATGGAGGGAACCTGAAAATACAATAATTTCAGCCATAACTGTGGTCAGCACGGAAGAGTAAAAATGCTCAGTTTGAGCTTACCGTATAAATTTTATACATGTCCATTCATTCAGCTTTTCATAGTGTAGCTTTTGAAGTGTGGAATGGCAGAAGATTAACTGTGTCCTCTGAGGCAGTTAATGTCTTTTGCCACTGTTGTGATATAAACTTTTAGTCCGATCAACTAGAATTTCAATAGAAAGAGTTTGAATGCACAAGCTTTCCATAAAGTTTCTCTGAGCCTGTTGCACAAGGAGGGGGAAAGGAGAAAGGTGAAACAACTATCTGCAATATCACTAAGGCAGAGGAAAAAGCCTTCAGATTTCTGTGGCTCAGAGAGTCTGTCTAATGAGAGGACTGCACTGCGGTAATGATATTAAAGGAGGGTTTTGGCTGCTAAATAAAAAAGTGACTGCAGTGTACTAAATCTAACAATATAGGGCCAAGTGTACAATTTTATAATGAATTAAATTAATTTGTGTATGTTGTGTACTTTGGCATGAATATATAAAATAGGAAGAGAATGGAAACGAGAGATAGATGAGATGACTGGTGTGTCTACCAATAGTCTACTTAACATTCTTAGCTGTTGTAGTGCATATTGGCTCTCGTTTACCTATTCGCTACTTTCTTCCCCTTCACCTTCCAGCTTGCTCTCATTCTCCTCTTTTCAGTCCCTCTCACACTCCCTACTATCTATTTCCCCTCATTACTAGATACTCTGACAGCTGAGCTCCTCATCACCTTCTGTATGTTACATTAATTTTCAATCATCAACTCTAAAATCCCCCCAGGGAAACTGTCAGTAAATACCATCAGTGTGTGTGCGCAAATATGCTGTCGTATTGCTGGCTGTGTCTGTGCATCACGCCGTACGAGCTTGTATTCGTGCTTCTGTGTGTACATTAAGATGGGTTGTGGGATTTAGATGATGGCTAGAGGCAATATTCTGTAATGATATCGTTTCTCCTGAATGATTTTTAAAATTCATGTTCATATGTCACATGCACCGACACAGTTACAACGCACCCATAGAGTCTGATGTGATAGGCAGGATTCCTGTTCGTGTTCATCCAGCCGGGCAGAAACGTGGAACGAAAACATCTTTTTATTATGACATGTATTTTTAGTTAAATGTGATTTTTATCACCCGATAAAGGGGAAGCTATTATTTATTGTCTCTGTACACCATCAAGATATAATGGAAGTCCAGGGGTTTGGCCTGAATTTAAGGGGTTTGATAGAGGTATTGCATTGTAAATGTTTAGGAATTACAACAATTTTATTAAAAGTCTCCCATTTTTATTGATTCAAAGATATTTAGACAAACTAACATATCAGAGGTTTTTTCATACTTTGATGAAAATCCAAGGTCTAAGGCCTTTACTGCAGCTGCCTCCAGCTGCTGCTTGCTTGCTGGTCTCTGTGTCCACAGTTTTGACCTTTAGTAACCTAAAAGAAAAGGTTTGGCTGGGTTGAAATCAGATGATTGACCGGCCTTGATTTAATCTGTCCAGAGATTTTATTTTTCCAGAACTGTACAGGCTCTTTTACATAACTTCTAACAAAGTCTAAGCTGGCTTTCTTGTGATTATGGACAATGCTGACAATTATATTTATATGCCCTCTTAAGAATTTTCTGTA